AATCGTTTTTAAGGTTGACGAGCTTAGTTCACTATGAAATGAAGCAAGTAACTTGGCATTTATACGTTGTGAGTCAATTTTGACATCAGCCTGGATTGGGAATTGACTAGAAGGTTTTGGTGTTGGACTGTGGCTACATTTCAGTGTCTTGATCCAGAGGCATGCATGAGCAATACTTCCCTTTGGGCTTTGGCCATTAATTTGTGGAATAGAGCAAGAACTGGAGAGGAAAATTGAGACTGCCTTGGATTGCCTGACGTCCTGTTGAATCAAAAAGCAGTGGGAGGCCCTTTCCTTCCTAACAAAGGCCTCATCCCCTTGCACAGAATTCCCAGCATCTGTCTGCATGTTAGGGGCAGCCCCACTCTAACACATACTTCAAATGGATGGTCACCTCTGGGCGGGTATCTGCACTCTGCTTATTCCAGGTGCTTTCCAGGCCACTTCCTCTGATTATGTAACTTTGATCAAATCCAGATGCTGCAGAATGTTTGATAGAAGAGGTCAAATGGCATTTGAGAAAAAAAGCATTTCTGTATTCATGACTTTGGTTTAATTTCCTGTGTGGGCCTGGACTGCCAAAGTTGTATTCTCATGGCCACGAGGTTGAGACGCTAGAGGGAAACACAGGAATACTTTTTCAGGACAACTTGAGGAGGAGCCTTCCCCAGCGTGATTTTTCATGTTACATTATCCATTATATACGTATCAGTTAGCTTCCATTTATGATAAGTTTTTCTATTTTTGTCGTCATTTTCTTTTTTTTTTTTTTTTTTTTGACCGGTAAGGGGATCGCAACCCTCGTCTTGGTGTCGTCCACACCACGCTCAGCCAGTGAGCGCACCGGCCATCCCTATATAGGATCCGAACCCGCGGCCTCAGCACTAACATCACCGCACTCACCCGAGTGAGCCACAGGGCCGGCCGTCGTTGTTTTCTGATTATTGAAAACAAACATTCATTGTGAGAAATATGCCACAGTATAGAAAAGTATGAAGAAAATTAAAAACGCTTGAGTTAACTACTGTTAACTACTGCTCACATTTTGATGTATTTCCTTCTGGTCTTTTTTCAATTTTTACACAATTGGGTTCATGCTATATATGCTGGGTTGTGATATAACACTTAATATATTATATGAGTGTATTCCCAAGCTATTAAATATTTTTTCCAAAAATATTTTGAGTGGTTTTTTGAGTATTCTATTTTATGGATGGCAAATAAACTAAATTATCTTGTATTGTTAGATATTTTGTACTTTTCCTTTTCTGTGCTGTTATTTAAAATCTATATACAAATCATTGTGTGGATCTCTTAGGATAAATTTCTAGAGGTAAATCAAAGCTTGTGAAATTCTTTAAGGACTTTTGGTTTACATTCCAGTTGCCCTCCTAAAATGTTACAGCAATGTATATATACACCTTCTTCTAGCACTGTATGAGAGTACCCTTTCATTGAAGTCTTACAGTGGCTATCAGTGTCAAGAAAGTGTATCTGCAGATTCGATGAAGAATTTGCATTTCTTCGATTACTAGTAGCAAGGGTTCACACACTTTCCATGTTTAATGGTAATTTTAATCTTCTGTGGATTGCTTATTCATTTTTGTCTATTTTTTTCCATAATGGAGGGATTTATCTTTTTGTCTGTATGTGTGAGTCCTTTTATTAAAATAAAAGACTCCTTTTCCTAACAGTTTTACTTAATATAATGACAATAGAAACTCTTTTGAATGGCTTCCACTAAACTGTCTTGCTAAATTGACCAGCACTCTTCACTTCATAAAACATGCCTCCCTAGTGCCCCGGGCAGCCACTGCACTGCTGTCTGCTCCACACACCAAGAGCCAGTTGTTTTTGTTTCCAAATCTGTTTATTTCAGATTCAACAGCTGTTGTAATTACATGGTTAATATGTAAAACTGACAAAATATGTATGAAAAGAGAATCGTTTCTATGAAAATTAAGATGTATGCTTTAGAAAGACTCAATAAAGGCAGGTTACTTTTAAAAAATGCTACTGAATTAGGAGTAAGACAACTATAAACAATAGGAATGAATTGTAGAAATCTAGAAAGATTCTGCAATGGAATCGCATGACGAATGGCTTTAAGTTCTCCCTCCACCTGTAGGAAATTGAAGCTGGAACTGAGATGATACATTATAGGCAGGACTTACAGAAGAAGACAACATCAAGCTCTAATCACAAACCCACCCTCAAAAGGACAGTCCTTAGCGCTACAGTCAAGACTAGCAGACCCACATACACTAGGTGGGGGAGATCAAGTATTTTTATTTTATTTATTTATTTATATATTTTTAAAGATGACCGGTAAGGGGATCTTAACCCTTGACTTGGTGTTGTCAGCACCACGCTCAGCCAGTGAGCGAACCGGCCATCCCTATATAGGGATCCGAACCCATGGCCTTGGTGTTATCAGCACCGCACTCTCCCAAGTGAGCCACAGGCCAGCCCTAGAGATCACGTGTTTTAATAAAAAATAATTCCCTATTTTAACCAGGTTTTTTTTGGTTAACCAATCAACCCCTGATCATGATGGCACCTAGTATACTTTTAGAACCTAACACATCACTGAATTTTTTTTTACCTTGTGAAAATTAGTACCAGTTTCTTCTATTCTGTAATAATAAAGTCTTCCATTTTTTGTCTATAAGTAGATTCTAAAAGTTGGAAACAGTCAAAAACTCTTATATTAGGAATGTGTGAATACTGTTCACTACAGGGTGATATAGTTCATTATCATTATTTTTTCCAGAAGTTTCTTCTTTTCTTTCTTTTTTTCTTGAACCATGTTAAACTCTCTAGAATTTCCTTGTGATAATGACAATATGCAGAAGTGTTCTTCCAAACCAGCAAATCTACCCCAAGTAGATCTTACCAGTTCAGAAACATTCTGGAATTCTTAAACTCTATGGAGTTTTATATTCATATTCATTCATGTTCTTAAAATATGGAGTTTTGCTCCATATTTTAAGCAACGGCAAAGACATATGAAGGCAATGTAACAAAATCCTCTCCCTTGAAATTATCTTTGCCTTCACAATTCATAAAATTACTGAGCATGGTAATAACATAATTTGGGATTTACTCATTTAGAAAAACAATTCATAAGGTTTATTTTAGTTAGTAGTGCAAAGCTAGAATTGAAAGATCTTTATTGTTATGTTCTATTAGTTTTTTCCAAAGAGATATTTTAAAAAATGTCCATTTCTGAAAGTTCTCCCGTCATATTTCTGGAAGTTTAGCCTAGTCCCTCTGGTGTCTTAAGTGTTTCTCTGAAATGGATGTCATTGCCTAAGAAAAGATGTTTGGGGGTCCTCTGAATCCATAGAGAGGGAAAAAGACCATAATTTTGTTTTGTTACCATTTATGTTTAGCTCAAGTATATGGTAGATACTTCCGTTCTTTTCAACTTAGAATTTTCCTCTCCTTTTTTTTTTTTCAAGTTTGATTTCTTTTTTTTTTTTTTTTTTTTTTTTTTTTCTTTGTCCGGCAAC